ATATTTCATGCAAAATTACTTCCAGATTTCTCATAGCATCTATTTTTTACAAATTTAAAAGGTGGGACATGCCCCGAGACCGCCATAGCATTACCATGCTGATTATGCTTTGCAAAATGTATGGGCTTTTGATCTCACAAATTAAAACCCCCCTTTCAAAAATTCTGCATACAGGCCTGATTTATTTTCTCTGTTTTGTCTAATATTTTTCAGTTCTTTTACACTATTGATAGGGGAGAATTGATGTTTCAATACTACAGGATCTAATATTCCCTTAACTTTTAGATGGCATCATTAGTAGTTTATCAGCAGCTTTGATGGATTCAAGTTCCACTGTTAACAGCAGATCTTCCTTCAAAAATGTACATCTGCTTTGCCTCAGCCTAATCCTCACCTGTTATAGCATCTATAAATTGCTCATGTGCTAAAGCATCCATCATTTCATGAGGAGAGTCCAAGTAAGATAATTGGGAAAGCCTTTCCAAATCTTTTGCAAGTTTGGCTAAGATCTCTTCTTTCCTCCATACCCTGTTCCATAACCTTGCTCTAGATACTTCTTTATGGTGCAACACTCTGCACCTGTTAGATATGGCAGGTACCAATACTTCATAGTTGTTACAGCTCTCAGCTGGAAGGTTACTTAATGTTATCAAAGCTGGTCCTTTTAAACAGGCAATAAGATAGATTGATTGTTGTTCACTATTTCACCCATCCATTCTGTAAATGATTTTAAACTGAGCCTGGTATGCCTCCCATTATAGCCTGTTGGCCCATATTGAACTGGCCAGCTAAATTCTGGAATGGGTTAAATCACAGCTGGAGTAGTCCAGAAAGGTCCTTCAGTATCAGATGGTACAACAGTAGTGATAATAGTGTAGACCAAAAATTCTCCTTTTCCATACTTGTTTGTAAATGGTGTTATCAGTTGGAACTCATGAGCTTGCAGAAAGAGGTGTAGCTAGTTTAATTCTTGCATTTAATAATTCATTTTCCAGATGCTTTGTATTGCCAACTACCTCATTGTTGTCTTTCTTTAATTCACTTTTGACTTTGTTAATTTTGTCATTATTACAGCCTTTCCATACTTCTTCAATCTTATTATTGTAATTTATCTATAAGTCTCCAAGAGTTTCATTAATATTGTCTTCAGTAAGTCTTTCCTTTACCTCCTCTCTCTTTAACTTGTCTCATCTCTTGATCTTCTTTTGATTTCTTGTAACATTCTTCTTGGTCCTCTTTTAATTTCCTACAAATTTCTTCATGGTCTTGTCATAATATTTTCATCTCAAGTAATCTTTCACTCTTTGACTTCATGGTGGCCATCCTCACAGTTGACCTTCAACTTCAAGTATATTCAAAGTTGTATTTTATTTTCATCAAAATAACACCATTTCTGACACCAATGTTTTAAAATTGTTCTTATGTTGGCATATACTTTTAAATTGTCTGGTGAAAATAATTCAACATCCAGTCCAGATAAGAATAACAAATGAGTTTGGGTTCCTCCTTAACATTCCTTTACAGACTTGTACACTTTTTAACTTATTGTATGGTTTGGGTTCCTCCTTAACATTCCTTTACAGACTTGTACACTTTTAACTTATTGTATGGTTTTGGTTCCTCCTTAACATTCCTTTACAGACTTGTACACTTTTTAACTTATTGTATGGTTTTGGTTCCTCCTTAACATTCCTTTACAGACTTGTACACTTTTTAACTTATTGTATGGTTTTGGTTCCTCCTTAACATTCCTTTACAGACTTGTACACTTTTTAACTTATTGTATGGTTTTGGTTCCTCCTTAACATTCCTTTACACACTTGTACACTTTTTAACTTATTGTATGGTTTTGGTTCCTCCTTAACATTCCTTTACAGACTTGTACACTTTTTAACTTATTGTATGGTTTTGGTTCCTCCTTAACATTCCTTTACACACTTGTACACTTTTTAACTTATTGTATGGTTTTGGTTCCTCCTTA